AGTTGAATCAATTAAAATGCCTTAAAGCAGGTTTGCCTAATTAAAATACATTCTTGGTAAATGGGGTGGAATTTAAATACCAATATGGGTATTTAGCCGTATAATATTATATGATAATTACTATGATATATAAAAAATATCTAAAATGTATTATATTATAGTACAATATTAATATAATATATTATATAATAATATATATTATTAAAAGATTATATAATAATATATATTATTAAAAGATTATATAATATTATAATAAATATGTACTGTTATATAATATAGTATGTGCTATTGCATAATAATATATAATAATTATCATAAAATAAATTATACATATAAATTAAACTATAATAATATTTTATTTTATTACATGATAATATAATATAATATATTGAATATATTATTACTTTATATTTTATGTATCATGTCATATATTTATAATATAATTAGCATGTATTAGTTAAGTAATACAAAAAGATTTGAAAATTATCCCAATTGCCTTCAAAATAGAACAAAATTGTTCTAATATGAAGGATGGGGTAAATTTTTACTATTAGGATAAAATTTTTATATATGAGTAGAGTAATTTTATTCCAAGTGGTGAAATTGTCCCATTAGTGTTCCAAAAAACGAATAACACAAAAAGTTAATATTATTGTTTCGTTATCCCAATAAATAACACTATGAAATAGAATCCCTAAAATTATCACATTATCCTCCCAAATGTCCTAATGAATAACCCCCCCCCCCCCAAGATTATGTTTTGAAGAATAATAATAATAATATTCATGCTAAACAAAATAAGTATATATGGATTCCTAAGAATTTGAATATTCATGATAGGAATTATTATATTTCATCTTATATTTATGAAGTTTGCAATTCAAAGAATTATACTTATGTTAATAAATGGAAACCAAATTCCAAGTGGATTTGGATTCCTAAGGGTTAATCCTAAGGAACATATATAAAAGGGTATCAAAGTGCTTAATGTTTTTATTAATGTACTCGGGAAAAGAAAATTTTAACTAAAATTATGTTTATTTCTTTTTGCTAATGACAAAAGGGGAGTTATATAGAAAATTTTAAATTTTTTACTAATGCTTGACGCAAGGGAGTAAAAGATTTTATCTGATGAATTCATACAGGAGGATTAAAATTTTTATATCTTAATAACATATATCTGTCATCATCAAAAAGGAGGAGAATGTTAGGAATCTTGACCCCAAGATTAGTTTGTTTTGATGATAACAAATATTATATGTTATGTGTATTATGTGCTAACATTTGTTTTGCAGTATCAGAGCTAAATCAATAATGATATTCAAAAAGATACTCAAGACATAGGATAAGTTCAAGGCAAATTGAAACAAATAAGAATATATACTTTATTGTCAAAATGTAATTTTGCATTTTCTTTGCTTAGAAATGTGTACAAACATTGATCACTCACACACATGCACACACATAGTGTTAGAACACACTAACACATGCTTAGTATGTTGGTTAACTATGGAAATCTCCTATGTTAACCATTAGATTTAATAGATATTGAGTGAGACTTAAAACATATCATATAGCTTATATCTACCCCTTAATAGTCGACTAATAGCATGAATAGTCGACTACAAAAGACAAAGACAGAATATTAGTTTCTGTGTTATTATAGACTAGTCGACTACTAGACATTATAGTCGACCAATAAGAGTTGAATCAGAATTATTATAGACTAGTCGACTACTAGACATTATAGTCGACCAATAAGAGTTGAATCAGAATTCCAGACTTTCTGTCAATTACAGAGTAGTCGACAGACATTATAGTCGACCAATAAGAGTTGAATCAGAATTCCAGACTTTCTGTCAATTACAGAGTAGTCGACTAATATATAAAGTAGTCGACTACTAAGGATTTATATGACTACACAGAGTCTATTTGAACTCAGAGTAGTCGACTACTAAGAGTTGTAGTCGACTACAAATGCAGTTTTCTGATTGTTACAGGTTTTGAATATATGACTGTTTATAGTCGTTTTGAGGTGTTATTTTGGTTTAAAAATACGACTTTTCATATGCTATAAATAGGGTAAACGTCAATAAACAAGATAACAATTTTAGCACTCAAAAGATTAAACTTTGTGTACATTCAAGAGGCCAAACATTTTGTTTTTTAGCCTAAGTATTGAGAAAAACTGTTTTCTGAAAAAACCTATGTTCTTGATCATTTCCTACTAAGTGTTTAAGCAAATTTCAGAGAGTGAAACCTATAGCCACAGTGAGAGACACGTTCACAACACATTCAAGGCTTATAGGATTGGATTTGTACTTGCTTCAAAGGAAGGTTCTCTCGATTTGTGAGGGGTTGATCTCTTGATCTAGAGGTCGGTTTATAAGTGGCATGGTGTTGTCAATTGGGTTTGCAATTTGCATGATCTTGCAAATTAATCAGGTTTATTTTTGATTTTGTAAGGTTTTAAAATCATAGTGAAAAACTCAAGAGGAATTTGCTTGGGGACTGGATGTACACCGGGGAGGTGGAACCAGTATACATGTTTGTGTTTGTAATGTTCATTTTCTGAGATTGTTGTCATTCTTTCTTGCAATTTATAACACATCTTACAAACTCACCCTCTAGTGTTTTAAGTGTAAAGCTTTCGCAGATTTACTCTTTATAAGAGCGCACTCTTTTCTTAAGGGTCACGATCCTACACTTGGTATATAAGTAAGAGGACCCTACAGAGTTGTGTGGAAAAGTTGATGGCTTGCTCGGGATTCAGTACTTCATCTAGGCAACATGAGACGTTCATAGGTGATTGGGGTTTGGTGGTGTTCAGGTCCCGTCACGAAGAAAAGAAAGGATGTCAGCAATGACATCAGCAGAGAGGGATTGCCTCGACTTGGGTTAGGTCTTTAATTGTTTTTGTTCGTCTCCTATAGATAGATGATCGAACATTTAAGAAAGGAAATTTTAACTTGCAATTATATGCAAAGGTTACTCAAAAGGAAAGCAATTTTTTCATAATGGACCTCTATAATGATAGAAATTTGTACAACTTATTTGTAGAGTAATCTACATGCATCAAGTGTGCAAATAGAAAGGAAGAAGATAAGAAAGTCAAATAAAATCCGAATTAAATCAAATAAAAATCCTAACTAAATTGAATAAAATCCTAACTAAAATGCTAGCACTCAAATGCCTTACGTTTCCCTTGTTGTACACTTATATACCTTTAGTTGTTTTTAGCAGCACTTTTATACCCTGAAGTTTCTAAAATTTGCACTTTAATACCCTCAGCTATGCAAACATGAGAGTTTTTCCCAAATCATCCCATGTGACCCTCACAAGCTCATTTTAGAACTTTGTGGCCCTTAATATTTGTTGAATTTACCATTAACCCACCATAATTCTATTATGCTAAAAATAATTAAGGGTATATTAGTCTGAAATAGGGGAGCCAATAAGGTATTTTAAGAGCTAATTAGCCTAGCTTAAAAGGAAGAGGATAAAATCAAATAAAATTCTAACTAAATGGAAGACAAAATTAAACAAAATCCTACTTAATTTCTCTAATCCAAATCTCCAAAGTTGCCTAGCATCAGCAAACCTCTTTAAAATATTATGTTTTCTTGTCAATGACTCTTTTCCCTATTTCCTCTAGCTTCAGCTATCAAAATTATTGTCAAGTTTAATCACTTATCCACTGCTACTCCATGATTATAGTTTTTTTTTTTAACTTTTATTCTCACTTTGGCTCTTGTCATTGGTGAAAGCATAATCAGGCTAAATGCCAAAAAAGTTTCATGTTGCCAATCAAGGTATATGATATGGTGCCTAAGTGCTATTGGAAGTGTACGAAATGCCAAAAAAAGAACATTCAACAGTCCATTCATTCATACCATCAATGTGATGCCAGTCTTCAATCCTACTTCTTTCAATAGTTTGCACTATTGCATGTCATAGACTCATAGTAGCAAGTGGAGTGAGTGCAATAGCTAGCTCAAATTATCAGCCAACAAATTCTGAGCAACATCAATAATACACCGCACTACATTTCTCTTGGAACCACTAATTGGTACTTGGTAGGCCGGTAAGTATGTTGATGGTCAATTTATCTACTGTTGGCAAGACTGTATATGAAGCTTTTTATTATCGTGCATTACATTGGAGGAATTTCTAGGTTACCTTGAGTTTTGAATAGTTTCTATGGCTTTTGATGAGTATTTTCCCTAATATTCATTATTCAGTGAATATAAAACAATCACATATCCAATAGCCAAGCACAAAAGCTTAGGTAAATACTAATAACTAGGGGTGGTAGACGACCAGATCAAATCGACGAATCGAATATCAGTGAATTTTAGTCCGAATTCAATTGAAAGTTAAATATTCAAATTTGAATTTGGGTCAGATATTACAATGGTATTCATGTTCGAATTTGTTTATATATAGCCAGTTCGACAAATATTCACGAATATTCATTAGCCCGTGTAGTTGGAGTAAACTGCAGGTATAGGGTTTTTAACCTTAGATTTGTCACATATTTTTGCCTTTATTATTCTTTGGAGAATTTTGCGGATACGCCCTCCAAATGGTATATATTTGAAAATATGCCCTCCAAAGTATCATATTTGATCATTTTCCCTCTAAATTGTCTTTTCCATTCAAATTTATTTTAAACTAATTAAAATTTTTAGAAAATGTCTAATCTACCATTTAATAAATATAAAACATAAACGAATATTTAATGACCTAGCAAATCAAATAAACATTTGGTTAAATTCTATTCATTTACGAATAAAATACTAAAAATTGTTCATTTACTGTTAAATGAGGTGTCGAATCAAATATGATTGTATAGCTGGGCAAATAATAACTGAACTGTTTGTTAATTATTTGGTTCACTTCCACCCTACTAATAACCATAACAACAAGAACAATATAGGAACACTCAAGTATCAAGAATAATAAGTCTATTGATCTATGAAGATTTATTAAGAACTTACAGTAGATAGCCTAAAGGGACAAAACTTTGGCTTTCCTCTGCGACCATACTTCAGTAGATAAGCCCCTTTCTTTAGTGCTATTATTGCCTGAACATTCAAAGCATGAAAAACTTTATTGACACAAAAGGTAGAGACAGGCAAGTCACATTACCTAATGAAGAACCATGCATATGTTCTTCAGATCAATAGTTAATGAAAACATGCTTTGCTAATAGTAATTAGGAAGTTGAAACAAAAACAAAATGTAAGGTGTATTGTACGCATGATAAAATGCTAGAAGAAAACATTATAAAATTGGTGAGTACTCTCATGTGCTTGTCACTAAACCTTGTAAAAATTGTGTGGTTTTTTACTATGTCCAGGGTATCAATGTATAGGAAACTAAAACATTAGAGATCATGTCAAACATGTTCGAACACAAGTATCATCTAAGTCCATAAAATAACCTATTTACGCATTGATGTTCAGTATCATAGGAACTATCAAATACACTTTCATTTAAGTTAACTTGCTTAGATTTGCTTGAGTAAAAATTGACTACTCCGGATGGCACTACAATTGCAAAATTGCAAATGCACCACCAAGTCGTGCCCTCAAGGATTTTCTTATCCAAATAACTTGAAACAACATTTCTAATTCTGACCAAAAAATAAGGTTTACCTATGCCATTTATGCATATTGTTTAATTAGATTAAATTTGCTAATGCGGGGTCTTGAAAACTGGGAAAATTAGTCATTGCTCACTGTCAACTAAGAAACAACATCCACAAACTTGTTTATAATGGCCAATAGACTATCTAATCTTGCTGAAATTTGCAGTAAAAAGGAGCCTCAAGGTAAGGACTGTAGGACTTCTAAAGCACTTAAAAAATTTTAGGAATACATAGTACTCAAACGTTCATCCATGATACATACACACACACACACACAGATGAGTTCGGCTAGTATTAATAGTATCCAATATGCAATTCCTATCCGTCCAAATCTAAAATTTTGACCCATATTGGAAATATGTGCTATTGGATGTAATGAAATATATATGAAATACCTAGAAACAAAATTTCAAATGATTTCAACGCGTTTTGATCATGTACCAAGGGCAAAAAAAATTAAGCAACTTCACAAAAATTCTAAAATTTTGATTTTGACAACATAAGATACATGGGGAGAATACATTGACATCATTCTAAATTTTATCTACCGGTAAAGATTTTCAACTTGGTGATTGAAATTATAGATTCAAATTGATAGTATTTGCATATTGGATACTATTAACATTAGCTTAACTCAAGTACTCACATATATAGTTGAGCTAGACTACTAATAATAGTACCCAATGGGTGGATACTATCAATCCAAATCTAAAGTTTCTATCCCTAAATTGAATATCTGTGCCATTGAGTGTGACGTAAAACGTGTGAACTATCTCGAAACAAAATCTCAAATGACTTCAATGTGTTTTTTAATCACGTAATGGAGGACAAAATTTTAAGCAACTTTATGAAAATTCTAAAATGTTGATTTTGACAACATATGATATGTGGGTAAATATTTTAAGATTCTGAAATTTTATTTCTAGATAGTTCACATGTAGTGCATTATATAGGTACGGATTTTCAATTTTGAAATCCAAAGTTTAGATTTGAATTGATAGCATCCACATTTGGGATATTGTTAATAGAAGCCTAAATCATAATCTTTATCACTTTCAATCCCAATTTCTCTGTGTTTGAGGGTGGGGGGGAGGAAATTGGCTGACAGACTATTTGAGAAAATGCGCTGACAAGAGACAGGGGCATGTGAGTCCCCTACTAGTCTCATTGGTGCAAGGTGAGAGGCTAACAGTTAGTGGCTTGGCAACGTATTTTCTAAAATGGGTTGTCAGCCCATACCCTGTGTGTAGAGAGAGAGGTTAATGGATACCACATATCATATAAGAGGATTCTCTCATATACAATGATGCGGCTAAATCTCAGCCAACCAAGTGTGATTATGATGAGGGATTCTCTCCCCCTTAATTCACTTGGTTGAGATTTAGGTCCGCCACTTGATAGGACAGAATCTCTCATATGACAAGGTTACTCTTTATTCTTACGCATGCATATAAACAAACCCAATGCATGGCGAAAAAAGAAAGGTCACTTACCACTTAGACCTAGAAAGCTGGTATGCATTTTGAAGAGGTATTGTAATTGTTAAGAATGCTTAATGTTGTTAACATGCAAGCTTTGTGCAAGAAGAAATGAAAACCCTAATTCATTATGATATCTCTTGGGCTTTATATAGGCCCCTACAAATCTTATTGAGTACTAAGAGTAGCAGAAGGAGGAAGAGGGAGCTATGAAATTCTTTGTGAATTTCTGTGTGTTTTCCCGAATGTGGGACTATTCACAATTGCCTTTTCCTTAAGAAAATGCTAACAAATTTCATATGAGCGAGGAGGATAAATTTGTATGTCAGCGGTAGTATTTTTTTTATAACTTTACAACTGATTTGGTACTAAGAACAGAGCAGCATTTGGATGGAGTCCAGCATCTCTGAGAGTCATATCAAGGTGCTCATGAGCAAAAACTCTCTTCGGAAAGGAAATAAGCTGGTAGCTTCCAATGCCAGGTATGTCCTGAGCATCAATATACTTGTATATCGATCGTATCGTATCTGTGATTGAGAAATTCTGCTCTTTTCTCGATCCATCAGGAAATCTTATCAGTATCTGCAACATTAACATTCCTTCATTTCAGTATCATTATCATTGTGCAGACTGTGTTATTAACGGTACTTACTTTCGTACCTTTGTAATCGATCGCTTCTGACTCGATATAGGATTCTTCTTAAGAGCTTCTTTGTGTTTGCTGAATGATGGTTTTGCTACTTTGTGAACATTCTCTTCTAAAGGATCTTTGGCTTTCTCATTTTCCTATCAGTAATAAATGTCAGGCAAATGTTTTTAATTGGTGTTCATTTTAGTGAATTTGACTGGAATTGGCTTATTTCAGGTTGATTATCAGATCTCAAGTAGATTGAAAAGTGTTAAGTTATCTGAGGAAGGAGGAGGGTTAGTTCCCCGTACGAAATTCTAAGGAAAAGATCAAACCTTATTGTCGATTTTAACGTGAAGCAATCTTAGGGGAATAAATGATAGTGCTTGCTAAATGCTTGCTCAATGCAATCTGATTTGCCCACAGCATAAGAGCTAATAGCATTGATAATTCTACAAATGGCAGCATGTTGATACATTTCCAGGCTTCATTCTAAATTTAAAAACCAACCATCATTTTATTAAATTTGTCATAATTAGAATAGAAACCCTAATCTTATTCATGAGATAACATGGGCTTATATAGGCCCCTACAACTTACAAATAAGCCCCTAAACCTATTAATATTTCAACACTCCTCCTCAAGATGGGCGAAAGATATCCACTAAGCCCATCTTGTCACATCCTCTAATCATATCTACTGAGCTAAGTCCCTTAGTCAGACAATCTGCTGCCTGATCCTTAGTTAGAACATGACTTAACTCCAGTAGTCCATTGTCTAACTTCTCTTTGATGAAGAACCTATCGATCTCGATGTGTTTGGTTCTATCATGCTGCACTGGGTTGTTGGCAATACTTATAGCTGACTTGTTGTCACACCATAACTTCATCTTATCTCCTTGATCCAGCTTCAGCTCCACCAGCATACTCTTCAACCATAGCAACTCAGCAACTCCTAAGGCCATAGCTCTATACTCTGCCTCGGCTGTCGATCTCGCCACCACTGACTGCTTCTTGCTCTTCCACGAGACTAAGTTACCTCCTATAAAGATGCAATATCCTGAGGTGGACCTCCTGTCATCAGCACAGCTAGCCCAGTCAGAGTCGCAATAACCCTCGATGTTCACATGTCCATTCTTTCTGAATATCAGCCCCTTTCCGGGGGCACTCTTTAAATATCTCAGAATCTGGTACACAGCGTCCATATGACCCTTCCTCGGATCGTGCATGTAGCGACTCACCACGCTTACTGCAAAGGAGATATCAGGACGTGTGTGACTCAAATAGATCAGCCTTCCCACCAACCTCTGATATCTGTCACGATCAACTGGTTCTCCAGCCTCAGCACCTAGCTTGAACCTCTGGTCGATCGGTGTAGTTGCAGGTTTGCACCCTAACATTCCTGTCTCTTTGAGAAGATCCAGTGCATACTTTCTCTGGGATAGGATGATCCCTTCCGCTCCTCGAGCTATCTCTATTCCAAGAAAGTATCTAAGCAAGCCAAGATCTTTCACCTCAAATTCCTTACCCAGTCTCACTTTGAGTTGGGCAATCTCCTTCTCATCATCCCCTGTAATAATCATATCATCCACATATACCGCAAGCATAGTAATGTGGCCTCCACTCCGTCGAAAGAACACTGTATGGTCGGCGTTGATCTGTTGGTATCCCATACCAATCATAGCCCTTCTGAATCTGTCGAACCAAGCACGGGGAGATTGCTTCAGACCATAGAGAGACTTCTTCAATCTGCAGACCTTTCCCACTGTCTGATCTGTACCAAATCCTGGTGGTATCTCCATGTATACCTCCTCCACTAGATCTCCATGAAGAAATGCATTCTTCACATCTAGTTGGTGTAGCTTCCATCCACCATTTACTGCCAGAGAGATTAAGGTCCGAACAGTGCTCATCTTCGCCACCGGTGCAAAAGTCTCATCATAATCGATGCCATATGTCTGACTATACCCTTTTGCCACCAGGCGAGCTTTGTAGCACTCAACCTGTCCATCTGGATTCTGTTTCACAGTGAAGACCCACTTGCATCCAACTGCTTTCTTCCCTTTTGGTAGTTTTACTAGCTCCCAAGTGCGGTTCTTCTCTAGAGCTCCTAGCTCCTCGTGCATAGCCGCTTTCCACTTTGGGTCCTTCTTAGCAACCTGCCAATTGTTAGGTACAGTAACAGAGTCCAATGATGCAATGAATGCTCCATATGCAGGGTGGATACTAGAATATGATACATACTGGGCAAGATCCCAACCATATCTATCGGGAGGATGTCCCGCATTACTGCGAGTAGTCCTCCGTACTGATATTGGTGTGGGAGGAGTAGGGAGAGGAATGTTATCAGTAGGAATGTTATCACCTTGGGATGAAATTGGTGGTGGTGTAGGTATTTCAGGAGTCGGGGTGGGCTTTGGCAAGAGACTTGGCAGCACTAGTGGCACTGTAGGTACTGTTTCTCCAATTTGTTTGCCCTTCCTACTATAGGTTAGTAGCTCCCCCTGAACAGTGGGCCTAACACCTCTTGTCTCTTGTTCCTTTTCTTCGTGATTCTCCGGCTCCTCCTCAACCAACTCCTCCTCAACCAATTCGCCCTCCCAAGGAATCGATACAGAAATGGATTTCTCCACATTGTTCTCCGGTCTCTCACCATTCTCCTCCTCTCGCCCCATACTTCTAGTATTGGACGAGTTACCAGCAGATGAAGTTACCTTCTGAGTGTAATATGGCTCGAGTTCTCGAAAGTGCACATCCATGCTCACAAACAACCTTTTTTCCACCGGGCTCCAGCAAACATATCCCTTCTGAGTAGCAGAATATCCCACAAAGATACACTTCACAGCTCTAGGGGCAAGCTTCCCGACAGACGGCCTGTTGTCCTTCACAAAACACACACAGCCAAACACTTTGAGTGGAAGGATCCCACCATTATCTCCTTTCAATATCTCACACGGAGACTTCCAATCCAGCACTCTCGAGGGCATTCTGTTGATCAACGCTGCTGCGGTCAATACTGCTTGTCCCCATAATGTCTCTGGGACATTCATAGAGATCATCATGCTTCTAGCAACCTCTAAAAGATGTCTGTTCTTCCTTTCCGCTACCCCATTCTGTGCTGGAGTGTATGGACAGGTTGTCTGGTGATGTATTCCTTGAGCTGACAAATATTCTTCAAGGGCTCTGTTGGTATACTCTGTCCCATTATCTGACCTCAATACTTTCACCACTGCTCCGTATTGAGTCTGAACAGTCTTATGAAAATTTTGGAAGCACCCAAACACATCACTCTTATTCTTCATCAGGTATAACCAAGTAACACGAGAGAAGCAATCAATAAATGTAACAAAATATTTGTATCCATTCATAGAACTTGTGGAACAAGGCCCCCAAACATCTGAATGTACCAGGTCAAATGCATGAGAACTTCTATGACCAGAACTAACATAAGAGCTTCTAGTAAGCTTTCCCAACTCACATGCATCACACACAAGTTTCTGTTTATTTGCTTTCTCAAATAAAGAAGGATACAATCTACCTAAAACACTAAAGGATGAGTGTCCCAAACGCTGGTGATGGAGCATTAACTCATTTTCAGCACTCATTTTAGATCCTACTCCTGCTTCCTCTATGACTGACACCAATGCTGAATCCAGCCCTTCACGATCCAGATACCACAGTCCACTACGCCATGTGCCAGTCCCAAGTCTCCGCCCTGTCCCCTTCTCCTGGAAGATTACCTTGGGAATATCAAAAGAGACGATGCATTTTAGTTGGAGGATGATAGAACTAATAGATAAAAGATTGACTGGAAAAGAAGGAGCATGCAAAACATTGGACAAAGTTACAGAACCAGTACAATCAACTGTACCCTTACCAACCACCGGCTGAAATGTACCATCAGCTGTTTGAATACTATCAGGCGATGCTAAGTGAGTATATGATGAGAACTCACTAGCATTACCTGTCACATGACAAGACGCACCGGAGTCGACTATCCATGCTGATGATCTGTCAGGAGACATAGAAGCAAGAGCATGTATGTCATCAGTACCTTTGTTCGGATGAGCATAGGTAGCAGTGTTGCCTCTGACGAAGAACGAAGTAGATGCCTCCGCAGTCCCATTCCTCAAATCTCCATCCCCTGCTACTTGCTGTTTTTTCCTGAGTATCGTGAGGAGAGCACGATCCTCCTCTGTAAAGACCACCTCAGCTTCTTCTTCTTCTGCTACCGTCAGATTCGCCCGATTCCCTGCTCCTCTTCCACCTCGTCGACCCCCACGGCCACGACCACGACCTCCGAACTGTCCACGTCCACCCGAATCTCCATCCTTGGATGGCTTGGTGCAAGCATGCCGTAGATGACCCACCGCACCGCAGTTATAGCACTGTCGAGTCTCTCTCCTAGATCCAGTGTTGCTAGAGGCTGTCAGTGCTGACTTCACCACAGGAAGTCCACCTGTCCCCGCCTGCAGCCGAATGCGAGTCTCCTCCTGGATCATAGCAGAGATAGCCTCCTCAAGCGTGGGAATCTTCGGCTGAGCTAGGAGCAATGCAATTCGCTGAGCGAACTCTGATGTCAATCCCTTGAGAAACACCATAGTCCTCTCCTGTAGAAAGGCCTCCCGCTCTTTACATCCCGGCGTCCTTGCACGCTACGCCGAGAAAAGTGGGTCATAATCCAGCCACATGGCGCCCACGCTCTTGCTAGCATATTCCTGATACAGCCCTTCTCTCCCTGATGGACCTGTGGCATCGCATCTCTCCTTTCAATCTGCGGAATACCCATCAGCGTTATTCCCCACTCCATCATATGTCCTGCCTCAACTTCTCCCATGACGTCCTTCACCTTTCTCTAATGCCATCCACCGTGGCGTGCGATCGTCCGGAACCACGAGCCCCCCCGTTCTCCCCGCCCCAGCATTAAGAAAGCCAGATGCAATACCAACATATGAGTGCCTTCCACCTCATCTCTTCCCTCGAGTCCTCCTCCCGCTCGCTCTATCACCTCTCCTGCTCGAGATTACCCTCCCAATTTCTCCCTTAGCAAGGGTGTATCTCACACGCCGCCGAGGACCAGGCTCAGGTATAATACTCGGCCCCATCAAGTTTCAGATCGATCGGTCGAAGCTCCAATCTTCTTCGATGGTTGGTCGCGCCCTCACCAGCTGACAACCTTCATTAGCTTCATCAAAGTTGATACCTCGCGGGGTTCAACTTCTTGATGACTCAACTCCACTCGATTAGGCCCTTTCAGATCCACCACCTGTTCACTTTCTCTTTCCAACCTTGCTTGTGTGCAGTGAAAATTTCACCGCCCAGGCAGCAACCTCTGCCCTGCACAACAAGATGTAGGACTCAAACAATTTCTCGTTTCTCAGTACGGACCAACAAGCAACCAAAAAAGTTCACTATATCTGCAATCGATGCTGCAGATATCATACTCTACCTGTCATCAGTATCGAGGACTGAGTCGAGGCGAATCCATCGTCAAACTCGAGTTCGCACACGGTGATGGCCAGGGTTCTGTCAGCGGGTGGTGGAGGCGTCGGGGTCGAGGAGAGACTGACAGGGGGGGGGGCGGATCGCAGGGCGGGTCTGGTTTCGCATCGGACAGAGAGGGAGGGCGTCAAAATGGTCTGTGCGGACAGAGACGAGGGAGGGCCTGTTTGTGATCGGAGGCGGAGGGTTGGGGGCGGTCTGCGACTCGAGGGGGGGAGGGGGTTCTGGCGTTGGGGGGAGCTGGCGGTCTGCAGAGCAGAGAAGGGCCTGGTTTCCGCGACAGAGAGGACGGGGTCGGTCTGGTTGTGATCGGAGGAAGGGTCTTGGGGGGGTGGGTCGGACGACGGGGGGAAGGGGATCTGGCGGTGGGGGGGATCGCAGCGTGTGTGGGGCTCTGCAGCTGCGGATTGAGGGGAAGGACAGAGGGGGGGGCTGATCGGTCGGCGGGGGGAGGCGACGGGGGCGGCCGGCTGCGAGAGGAGAGGAGGGGAGGGGGGGCGGCTAGGGTTAGGGTTTTTTGTGGAGGCTCTGATACCAAATTAGAATAGAAACCCTAATCTTATTCATGAGATAACATGGGCTTATATAGGCCCCTACAACTTACAAATAAGCCCCTAAACCTATTAATATTTCAACAGTCATAAACGTTTATTACAGAAAACTATTATCGAATGTCAAATTTCTATTTTTTCGTCTCCCCGTTGATTTTTATACCTCATTGTTTTGAAGAGGTTCGACTAAAGCCGAACCTTGTTCATCCGCAGTCCTCTGCAATACCTCCACCAGTTCATGACCCACTGGTCCTTCAACCTATAAACACAACACATGAAAACAAATGAACTTTTCATTGTACTCGTTAAGAATCATGTCCTTCACTAATTTTTTTTTTTACTGAACATTTGTTGGAGGGTTTCTTCCGGCAGCAGCAAAGCTCCGCACTTTTGAAATCCCTTCAAGCGTGTCGGCAGGGAGTCTCACAATTCGACGAGCCAAGCTACTGCATAATGTTGTCAAACCTTCTATTAGCTGCATTCTGAAATTTGCTATAATTTCTCCGGATTTTGAGACAAGAGAGAGATGGTGAGTAGACGCCTTCATTTTATGTCGAAGGATATCTGGAAATTCCTTTCTTACCATCTACCGTCTACGTTGCTTGCTGGATTCTGGGTGCTTTCCCCTCTGCTTCTTCTAATGTAAAGTATAATGAACAACTTAATGTGTCTATGTAACAGTAACATGTTTGGAGAACTTTATGCCTTTCTTGAAATTCTGAGCTGCGAATTTTCTTTCTTTTTTCTGAAAAGAATTTACCTGCTCTCGTTTTTTTTTTTTTTAAAGACCGGAACTTCACATAGGTCCCCTGCTCCGGGTTATTGAACCTGTTTCAAGTTTCCTGGTTCAAAAGATGCTGCAACTCACTTATGTTGGTATTCAAGGTGATGAAAAAAAACAGAATTTTGGAAGATTTGCACTCATTAGCACCCAATACAAGCATAAGGTTCCCTCTTTGAGAGCAGTTCTGCAGTTAAATGTGCCCGTATGAAGAAGAGAAGGAAATAACTACAGCCCATTCTGCTGCTACCTTTTACTTTATTTTTTCTTGCCCCAGATTTTATCACATTCTTCACTAATAATACCTCAAAACTCCCAATCAGTTGTCTGCAATGAATAAATGAGTCGTTGAATAGTTTATGGGTACTGTCGAATAATTTAATGGATAATAAACAACCACCCTACTGGTCATAAAACCAGAAAAGGACATCAAGAATTAGATTAAGGCTGTACTGTTGTCTACCTTGCAATGCTCTTAAGTTATAATAAGAGTAACTATAGAAAATATCTGCAGGTTACGTAGATTGAGTTACAATCAGAGCCATTATGCTACTCCCATTTGCAACTGTATTTCGTACATGAACTATTTAAATCTGAGAATCTTGAGCTATTCATGAGAGCAGCTTACCGATTGTATAATATAATCATAGAGAGGAAGGTAACTTGTTACTTGCCGAGAACCTAGCTCACAGGAATCTGCATATAGTTTCATTATCATAATTATCCATGCTTTTGCTATCAATTCCTTCAATTAAGCAAACAATCTCAGCCTGAACACGTTAATTTTTGAGCCAAACACTGACAATGGAAGTTTGTTATAAAATTAATATATACCTATGGGCGAAGAATGCTCCCTGGATATGACAATAACATGAAAGTTTGTTCGTCTATATTACTATATACATATTAGAAGCCTAAAACTGAGTGCAGTGAAAAATTCACATAGAGTTGGAACGCAAAATCCGCAGTTTGAGGTCAAGGAATTCCTCAAATTCAATATCAAGTTTATTTTTCTGAAACCATGTTTGGATCCCGCCACTTACTAGACATCATGTGTTTCTGATTTTTGGACCATGGAGGCAATGACTCCCTTCAAAGCAGCTGGTCTCTGATCATTTTGAGAACTTCCCGTGGTTTCAGAACCTATTTTCTGCATTTGAACTTCACTAGATTTCGAACCGAAGATATTCAGTTTCTTGAGCAGGGAAGAGGAAGCCGAGCCCGCCTTCTTTCTCTTCCTAACATTCTCAGCCCAGTTGTGCAATGTTGATCTCAGCTGATCGGCAAATATTGCTTGTTTAAACGTGTCCCCCATCTATATTTAATAGGTCCAGAGAGTGAGCGTGGTCTCAAATTTCAAGAATTAACTATAATTATAACATTAAGTGAAGCTAAACATGTATTATGCTAATATATCTTGTATCTCAATTTACCAAACAAACATTACTTATCGCGCAATTGCAGATAGATGCCCTGTAGCTCTATTGTTGTGAATAGACTCCCGATACAATTGACCAATCTGAATAGAAAAAAAAAATTCTTTTCTCTGAGGATACAAGAGTTAAAGAAAAAATCATTCTGGGGTATCTGCAACAGTAGAACTACAAGGGGTCTATCGGCAATTGAGCGATATCTCTCCGTGACGAACCCCCAGTGAGAAGTTCATTAAAATTGACCCTACACCCTTTTATCCAGCTTTTAAGAATCTTGCATTATGCAACCACTATCTATATTAAGGCTAAAATCACAGTGTATTTGTACCTGGGTGACAATAGCATAAAGAGGAAGAGTGCTGTAACTGCAGAGAACCTGAACAATCACACTGTAAAAAAGGGCATCAACTGAACAAGTCAGATGAGAGCTGCAGTCTCTTGAGTGTAATACTAAATTACGGCAATTAATAAGATGCTAAGTGAATTTTGTAAAAATTTTGGAAGCTAGAGAAAAATGGAAAAGCCTGAGTTAAATTACCCGATAACAAGTCTCGGTATGACAAATCCTACTTTATCCATGATGCAGGATTTGAAGCCATAGGTGCTCTGAAATTATTGTACATCAGTCAGTGTCCAAAAGAGATTTCAGGTCAGTTTCTTTTTCTTCTTTGATGGCTTTTTTAATCTCTTCCTGCTGTGCAGTATTTTTTCGATTACACTCCTATTCACTTTCATTAATCAACCCACCTTCTGATTTGACTATATTACGGGAAAAACAATTTATTGGGGGGAGTATACTTGGGATATTTTGAATGTCCATGTACATTTCTTTTCACGCATTTCCTTTCACTTAGTTTCCAGAAGGGCGTTTGCTGGGATTATTTGTCAGTAAGGAATTCGATTAGGATATCTTTGCATAAATTTCTTTTAACAAAGAGCATTGTTTGTTATAATAATTGATATATTATTATTAGTTGCATCTCAAATTTGTACATACCCATATCCAGAAGAAAAATGCAATCTCGAAGGAATTCTGAAATAAGATGAAATGGATTAAGTAGAGAACAAAGCCCGGGTGCTTAAACCAAAAATGGTGATCAGATGGCTTCACTCGTGGAATTTCCTGGTGATCCTCTCCAAAACCCTCTGCAGCATCTAGAGCCAATCTGGTGATAATATACTCCAATTTCGTGCCAACGACTAATAGAAGCTGCAATTGATCACAGTTTTAGTTTTGTGTTAAGTAGATACCAGAAAAAAAAAAATTGAAGGACGTTGAAACTTATTAGTCTGATATTAAGGTCATGTGTTCCGGTGCACAAAATTACATTTAAAATGTTATCATAACAGTAATATATACTTACAATCAGAGGCAAGAAAGATAGCCAGAAATGTGTGTGCCACCCTGCATTAGCAAAACACCCCGAAATCTTAAGGTCATGTTTACAAGGTGACATGTATGAATTAGGTCTTATTACTGATCACGTGTAGCCATTTTTTACAAGCCAGAGAATACAATTTGCGTGAAAAGAAACAATAACTAATTCGACATAGCACTAAATTAAATAACCAATAGCCTATTAATTTCTTGCATACCATACACCTTCAGCAATAGAAATATGATAACAAAGAGCCATAGGTACCAGCTGCAAGAACATATAAGTTTAATATAAAATGTTATTATTATGTTAAAACAAATAAGTGAAGAAAGAATGTAAAGTAGACTACCTGTTAAGTTACCTACCTTATCCCTACAACTACCTTAAAATCATCTTCAAGCGCTCGCATCATGTACTTGTGAAAATCAAAATTTTTATTTGAACTGCAGTGCTTCTGAAGATATTAAAAAACTCAGATAAATCAGTCAGGTTGAATGAGGGGTTTGATGAAATGATGCAAAATAAATAAATAAATAAAACTGAATTAAAAAAATCTGTGCAGTAAAGCTCACCATAATAAATCCAGAACGTAGCGCTCTGTAATCTGATTTTGTCACAGATGCACAGAACTGCTTGAAGAATGACATCTACAACACAAAGCCAACTTCATATTTTATTTCCAAATTACAATTATAAACGAAGCACGATATCAGATGAAAAAAGGAAGAAGATATAATTTACTGTGGGAACTAAATTGTAAATAAAATGTAGCAATTACATAATATCAATGTTTTTAAAAAGAATATTCATGACTTATTCAAAGAAAATTACTGATAACTCACCATCCATCTAACAGGTCTTGACTCTCTCCAAAGTCCCTTGCGCTCCATAAGAAATTCATGATGAGTGTGTGCATGTGTGAGATGTTTATCTGTCAATTATACAGAATTATTTCATGAAAGCAAATGAAGGAACTGCTCAAACGCTTATCAAACTGAAATTTCTACATTACAACACAATTCGAGGGGCACATGAAGACGTATACTTTTTTCTTGTTCTATTTTCTCCTTTAAAATTGCTTCCTCCCAGTGCTTCCACTGTCTAATCTAAAAATATTTTAGCACAAGAAAAATAAACATTATTTGCATTTGGATCCTATTCACATACTGAACTATAACGAATGCAATATGTAACATACCTTAGCCCCTCCTAGAACCATAGTAGAAGCACAGAATCCAACATGGACGGCAGCAAGTACAAATATGAAAATGTGCAGCTGATGTAATGCTTCAACAGATAATATTGGAACTTTTCCCTGAAATCAGCGGTATTCAATATTTTAATGAAACGCGACACACTTAATCTTCTTACATTGCGAATATATTTCATAAACCACTAATAACACAAAGCACATCTTTGCCTCTTTAGAACATGCTGCAATTTGTATTGCCCTCATCAAGAAAACTTGACCAAATCCTTTTTCAATAATGTTTCAAAAGAACCCAGGAATAAGTTTATATTGCTCACAAATTCACCTGTCTCAGGCAGAAACTGGAACTGTCACTCTCTGATAAAAGCCTACGTCTACTATGGCCAAGTTCAAGAGAAAGATCCTTGATTATATGCATTTCTAAGCTTTCTTCCTTTTTACAAGGAAGCATGTGAGATGTGATACTCGGAGAGACGCAGAAGTGACTAGTTGTATTTTGAAAGACGGTCATCAGAAGAGATATAAAGCCAAGAAGCATCAACTCTGCACGAAGAGATACAACCAAACATTCTGTCAGCAACACTCATGAAATCGGTGTCTTCTCGAATAAGAAATGAAAATGTGCCATCTAAAATGTAAGAATCCTGGTTGATGTGGGGGGAAAAGAATATGCTAACTAGATTGATAGCACGTTTCATGATTTCTGCCCTTCAAAATTTCTTGTCAATTTTTCTGACGATGAAATCAACAAGAAAGTACACAAATGTATAGATCATGTAAACCTGCTTTATAAAGCAAATGTAAATCCTCCTCAGTGTAACTAACCTTCTTTTAGTTTCTGCAGAGCTTCAAATAGTGAGTCATTTTGCTTGTTCTTCAGAAACTGAAAGAAATTCAAAAACAAACAAGTGTACGACCAAATTAGCATCCGATAACGAAGCACCCAAGCAGGAAAAATAACCATAATTATAAATTTATTTGACACACATACAATTTGCTCGTGTTAAATACAGTAGGATTTATGTTTAATGTCAGGGAATATATCCCCATTATTCATCACAGTGTTAGTCTAAGGGATGTAGACTCAAAGCTAGAATCAAACAAATTGTTGGATAGCAGGTTTTCTAATCTGTTTTGGTAATATGATTCTTAATCTGTTTTGGTAACGGGATTCTTAATCTGTTTTGGTAACAGGTTATTAGGATTCCTAATATGTTTTGTGAAAGAAAATAATTCCCTCTGGTTCATTACGTTAACCAAGTTAGCATAATATACAATTGCTACAAGCTTGATTCTAGGAAATAATCACGGCTACAAGCTTGATTCTAGGAAATAATCACGGAAACAAGCTTGATTCTAGGAAATAATCACGACAACAGTTAGGCAATTATATACCTAATAAAGACTATTGCTATATTTACATTTATTTACATAAATATATTCTATCACACCCCCGCAGTTGAAGCGGGAGGTAGTCGTACGCTGAGACTGTCCCGAAAATCTTCAAAAAGAACCAATGGAAGATCTTTCGTAAAGATATCTGCGATTTGATAGCGTGACGGGACATGTAAGACATGTACTTGTCCACGAGCAACTTTTTCGCGAACAAAGTAAATATCCATCTCAATGTGCTTAGTGCGTTGATGTTGAACTGGATTCTCGGAGAGATATATCGCACAAACATTATCACAATAAACCAATGTAGCCTTCTGCATAGGACAATGAAGCTCCAGAAGAAGGTTTCGTAACCAACAAGACTCATAAACTACATTGGCAACCCCTCAGTACTCGGCTTCGGCACTGGACTTGGATAGGGTAGCCTGCCGTTTATCACCAAGAAATTAGATTATCACCAAGAAATACACAATACCCAGAAGTTGATCGTCGGGTATCTGGACATCCACCCCAATCAACGTCTGTATAAGATACAAGGGTGGCAGTTGAAGATGGATAAAGGTGCAAGCCGTGATCTAGAGTGCCCTGTATATAGCGCACAATGCGCTTAAGTGCATGCATGTGTTCCTCCATGGGGTTATGCATGAATAAACAGATCTGTTGCACAGCATAAGAAATGTCGGGCCTCCTGAATGTCACATATTGCAGGGCTCCTGCAAGGCTGCGGTAATGTGATGGATCATCATACGATGTGCTAGACGTAGCACTGAGTTTCGGTTTTGTATCAACCGGTGTGGGAGACGGCTTACAAGATGACATGCCAGCACGTTCTATGATTTCTTCTACATATTTCCTCTGAGATAAAAATAAACCACCTGCATGACGAGTTACAGCTATACCCAAGAAATAACTCAATGGCCCTAAGTCTTTCATAGCAAATTCTGAGCTGAGAAGAGTCATGATAGACTTGCGAAGAACATCAGAGGAAGCAGAAGTCTTTCATAGCAAATTCTGAGCTGAGAAGAGTCATGATAGACTTGCGAAGAACATCAGAGGAAGCAGTTAAGATAATATCATCCACATACAGCGAGAAGAGTCATGATAGACTTGCGAAGAACATCAGAGGAAGCAGTTAAGATAATATCATCCACATACAGCAGAATATAAGCCATATCAGTACCTTTACGGTAGATGAAGAGAGAGTGATCAGATTTGCTATGAGAGAAACCAATAGAGGAAACATAATCTGCAAAATGCTTGTACCAAGCTCTAGGAGCTTGCTTAAGCCCATATAACGATTTCGCAGCAAACAAACATAATCAGGATGTACTGGGTCCTTAAAACCCATGGGTTGATGCATGTATACAGTTTCCTTTAGGTCCCCATGCAGAAAAGCATTTTTAACATCAAGCTGATGAATAGGCCATGCTTTAGAAAGAGCTAAACTGAGCACAGTGCGAATAGTAGCTGGTTTGACTACCGGACTAAAAGTCTCGCCACAATCCACGCTAACTTGTTGACCTGCACATCACCTACAAGACGGGCTTTATGCCTCTCAAAAGAACCGTCAGATTTGTCTTTATGTCTAAAAATCCACATCGACCAAATCACATTAACATCAGGAGGACGAGGCACCAAATCCCAAGTCTTATTTTTAATAAGAGCATTATATTCATCATCCATGGCCATTTTCCAATTCGGGTCTTTAAGGACAGACACGAGATTACGAGGTATGGGTGATTTAGTAACATGGGTGTGAAGACCGTATTTCTTGTTCGGTTTGAAAATCCCATGTTGACTACGAGTGACTGGCCTTTGGGCTGGAATTGGCGTTGGCTGGACATGAGAGGGGTCGGTGGGCTGACTCGTGTTTGGGCTTGATGCATGCGGTCCAGCAGCAGGAGGAATAAGAGAAGGAGAGGTACATTGCCATAGGACAGGTGGATTTTGAGCTGAGTTGGTGGTGTGGGTCGGACTGCTCATTATGGTAGGCGAGCTGGGCTGGGCTCTTTGTTATGAATTGGGTGAGGCATGAGGAGGAGTAGGCGGGGTGAGTTGTACTTCAGATGGGCCTGTGTTTGAGGTCAGCTGGTTGATCATAAAAGAGGATAGGCCTTCATCAAGGAAATCTTAAGTACGAGGCAAGGGAGAATGCAGATTAGCAAAGGGAAAATTTGATTCATCAAATATAACGTGGCGATTAATGATGATTTTATTCGAAGATAAATCGTAACACTTATAACCATGATGATTTGATGGATATCCCAAAAAGACACACGGAGTAGAACGGGCTTGAAGTTTATTTATAGTGGAAGAAGGAAAGAGGGGATAGCATAAGCACCCGAACACTCGAAGATGAGAATAAGATGGGTCTTTTTGGTAGAGAATTTTGAGAGGGGATTGATAGGCTAAATTTTTATTTGGAAGTATGTTGAGAAGATAGGTTGCCATTTGTAATGCATGATGCCAAAAAATAGGCTAAATTTTTATTTGGAAGTATGTTGAGAAGATAGGTTGCCATTTGTAATGCATGATGCCAAAATGATGGAGGTAGAGAAGCATGGGCAAGTAAGGTTCTAACAATGTTGTTAATGGTGCGGATTTTTCTTTCAGCTTTTCCATTTTGTGATGATGTATGTGGACAAGAAAGGCGAAAAGACATACCATTAGCTTTGCAAAAATCCCAAAATAGCCCATTATCAAATTCTCTACCATTATCGCATTTAATATTTTTAATTTCCCGTTCAAATTGAGTTCGAATGAATGCTCTAAAAGAGAGAAGTGTGGCAAAAACTTGTGACTTTCTAGACAACGGAAATGTCCACAAAAAATTAGAGTAATCATCCAACAATAGAATGTAATAACGATGGCCCGAAGAGCTCAAAACAGGAGATGTCCATAGATCACTATGAATAATGTCAAAAGGCATAAAAGTGCATGAATTCGAAGCAACAAAAAGCAATTTAACAAGTTTTCCAAGAGGACATGAGCGACAAAAATGAGAACTACGAGTTCTATTGCACTTAATAAATTTATTTAGCCTAAGGGAGTCTAAAACAGGTGCTCCCGCATGACCTAAACGTTCATGCCATAAAGAAGGTGCTAAAGCTGCAAAAGTTGATGGTGAGTTGACTCGATTTGTGGTGGTGGTGGTGATGGGATATAGCTCGCCCCGACTATCACATCTCATTAGGTGCATCCTCGTCTGAAAATCCTTCACAGAAAACCTAAAAGGATCAAATTCAACAGAAACCGAGTTATCAGAAGTAAATTTTCTAACCAAAACTAAGTTTTTAATCAGTTGAGGGGCATGAAGAACATTCTTTAAGGTTAATGGTGGGTTCGGGGGGGACAAATTTGTATGACCATAACCACGAATTGGAATTGAATGACCATTTCCGACAATTATACCACGATTATTGCTCAAATTAAAATATGACGAGAGATTACCTTGCGAAGATGTCATATGAGATGTGGCACCGGTGTCCATGTATCAGTTTGCATCGGGTGGAGTGAGCCCGAGAGTGTGCATCGCGGCCTCGATGTCAGTTGGTGTTGTTGTCGCTAAATAAGCCTACTGCTGGTGAGGACGAGGCCCAAGAATGCTGGCCTGCTACTGCTGCCCGTGCTGTGGACTGGGCCTGGCCCAAGGTGCAGTTGGATATGGGCATGGTGGGATAGCCCATGGCCATTGCCAAGGCCACATCTGCTGCTGTTGTCTACCAGCCCACGATGGCTATCGTTGCT